AAATATTATCAGTCAAGCATGTTCTGTTACCGTGTTTTCGTCCGTGCTTCCCAGCTGAAACATCACCGCTAGTAATAAGTTTAGTACATATATTATTCGCAGTACTTTTTGACATGCCAGTTTGTTGTGCAATTTGTCTACATGACGGCCCATTTAAGTAAAGTTCAACAATTTTCTGTCGTACACTAAATTGTGTGTCGAATCCTCGTTTATGAGACTGCATTTTGTTACCAAATTACATGTACTCCCGACTTTCCCGCGTTAGATGCTCTGGGTGTCTGGACACACTACCGGGACACACACACAAACGTAACATTATATGTAAATGAATGAGTAAAAAACAACTCGGAAATGTCTTGCGCAAACAATAAAAGACAGAATGGCGCCTCGGAGACTCGGACAGGTATACATCGTATCAAAAATGTTTAGGCTACAGTTATAATGTTTTGATTAGTAGTGATAAAATCAGTGGCAATTTCATTAGGTATTTGCTCTGATGTATCAACATTTACCACAATCTGATCGTCCAATGTTTAGTGAAAACGATTGTAATTTTATCCACGTTATTGGATTCCTTGATCATGAAAATACACACTCTGTACTAGTATGTGGAATTATACTAATATCACCATTACTTCAATTGCTGTTGCCATGCCAACTAGATCTACATCTCTATCAACATTAAATAGATTGGTAATTACATTTTTTGAAAATCCATTCATAATTGTTGGTTATAAATGAAAATATAATTTCTGAAATTGTTTCCATGACAACCATACCTGAATCTCTACCAAAATCTAATTGATTGGTGATTTTCTATTCACTCTGAGGTCTTGTGAAAGGCGTGGACTGAACGTCTGCCACAAAAATAGAATGTTTTGAGTTTGGACAACATTTCTTTATGTGATTTGGATAGAATACTTGAACCGATTTCCATGAATCAATTTCCATGATTCAATCATGCGAAATAGCCTTGTTACAAACATTATACTGCATACTAAATGGGCAGTACTGGAAATTTACTAGTACATCTAGGGTTGTTATTTTGTTAGTAGACTAAATGTGGACAAGAGCAGCAGACTACTGTCGGGGATGGGCTCTATGTAATTCAGTTACTTGTTGTATACCATTTGAGCACTTAATTAATATTGGTATTCAATTAATTTCTGATTCCCGAATTATGTTTCATGTTTCATACAGTAACTCACTGAGAGTTAGTAAATGGTGTATAAAGGCGTGTACTTTGTCAATGCTAATTTCACCTCATATAAAGCATCCATTATATTGTACAACAAACACAGAACATTTACCTATCAATAGTTTCTACTCATCATTCATTCAGTCTGTCATTGTAAATTGTTTCTGGTTATTTTTTACTCCATTTGTCAGTTATTTGTGTTGGATCTCGATAGATTATCATCAATCAGTTCATGCCTATTTTTAACTATGCTTTTTAAGCCTAGATCTAGTGCCATTTTAAGCCTAGATCTAGTGCCATTTTAAGCCTAGATCTAGTGCCATTTAAGCCTAGA